ATTGGGCCATGGGGGTGAGTTCGTTTCCAGATCTGAAAGGGTGGTCGAGGACCATAGTCTAAGATTACTACTCCAGTCTCTTTCAGACTAGTAAAGACTGGTATTTTTTTTATTTTTTTTAAAGTAATTTTGAGTTTTGTTCCATATTTTCTCCCATTCTATCCAGGACCTTTTAATGTTAACCTTTTCAGAGCAGTTGATAGTGGTAGCCAGGTATCTTCTAGTTGTTCTGGTCTCAGAGTCCTGGAGACTGATGTTCACATGTTCCATTTGCTCACTGAACTAATTACAAGCATCTTCAATTCAATTCTTACCACTCTTATGCACATGGAGAGACCAATAACTGCACCTTAGACAGCCACTCGTGAGTTTAGAAGGTCTCAGACGCTAATCACCAAAGTAGGATGCAGAACATTGTCTCTGTGGACTGTGTTATGCCAGTTAACCATGGTGTGTCCCCTGAGACTATGGTCTTGAGCCTCCAGGCCCAGCTTCTCTTTGCCTTAAGGTGTTTCATAATATCTAAGAAGTGTTCATCATTTTGCCCACGTTTGTGTTTGCAGGAAAGGTAAATACCCATGTACACATATCCTCTTTCAAATTCTTATAAATTTGTGGGGTATATATGTATATAACCCACTCTTCCTCCCATAGCCATTTAGCCTGTATCTCTGTCTGTGTATTTATGCACAGAACACTCTGCTTCAAGGTTGTATATAAATCACTATTTACCTCTGTCCGCTTTAGCCCTTGTATACCTCCCTATGTCTCCTACTTTCACCATTCTGCCAACCTCTGTTTTTTGTATATTGCCCTCCCTGTCACTTGAATTAACATGTGTCTACCCTCTAGGAGCTCTGGTAGCGTAGTGGTTACGAATCGGGCTGCGAACCTTAAGGTCAGCGGTTCGAAACTACCAGCCACTCCGCGGGAGAAAGATGAGGCTTTCTACTCCCGTAAAGATTTACACCCTCGGAAACCCTGTACAGGGTCGCTATGGGTCGGACCCGACTCGATGGCACTTAACAACAACAACAACAACCCTCTAGAAAGTAAATTACTCTCCCCTTCCCTCCCACCCCTGGTAACCATTAAAGAGTGTTTCTTTTAGTATGAAAACCATTTTTGAGCTTTTACCTTAGTGGTCTCATACAATATTTGTCCTTTTGTGAATGACTAATTTCACTCAGCATAATGTCCTCCAAGTTCCTCCGTAATTGTGAGGTGTTTCCACCACACGTTTGTCAGTTTGTCATACTGTGGTGACTTGCATGTTGCTGTGATTTTGGAAGCTATGCCATGGGTATTTCAAATATCAACACAGTCACCCACAGTGGACAGGTTTCAGCTGAGCTTCCAGATGCAGACTAGGAAGAAGGACAGACAGACTACTTCTGAATATTTAGTCACTGAAAACCTTAATAAATAGCAGTGAAACATTGTCAACACCAGAATGTTTAATATTGAAACATGATGAAGAGCACCAGAATATTGTCAGATACAGTGCCATAAAATGATATCATTTTGGTCCTTTCTTTTCTCTCTAATGACCTTTTGCCTTCTTGTTTGATGTTCTTGCTGTCATCCCACAGCTCTTCTGGTCTTCATCCTTAGCGTCTAACATAGCAAATCTGTGCTTGAGATGCTCTCTAAATTCAGGTGGAATATAGTCAAGGTCATATTTTGGTTTCTATGAACTTGTTTTAATTTTCTTCACTTACAGCCTAAACTTGCATATGAGCAATTGATGGTCTGTTCCCAGTCTGCCCTTGGCATCAGTTTGATTCCTGTGTAATACATCTGGTGATGTTCATATGTATGTTGTTTTGTTGTTGTTAAGTGCCATCGAGTCAGTTCTGACCCACAGTGACCCTGTATAGGGTTTCTGAGGAGTAGCTGGTGAGCTTGAACCATCGACTTTGCAGTTCAAATGGCTTTGCAGTCTGGCGCATTAACCCACAGAGCCACACCAGAACTCTGTTCATATGTATAATTACCTTTTATTTGGTTTAAAAAAGATATTTGCAACGAGTAAGTCATTGGTCTTGCAAAATTTATCATTCGAGCCTCCAGCATACTTTGTCACCATGGTCATATTTTCCAACTACTAATCCTTCTTTGTTTCCGGCTTTCACATTCCAATCACCATGTCAACACTTCTTAATTGCATATTTGATTAATTTCAGACTCAAGAAGTTGGTAGAATTCTGAAGTGTCGACATCACTGGCTTTAGTGGTTGGTGCATACATTTGGATAATAGTGGTGTTAACTGATCTTCCTTGTAGATGGATGAATATTATCCTATTATACAAACAGTATTATAATTCCAGCTAGATCTCGAAATGTTATTTTTGCCAAGGAATGTGACGCCATTCCTCTTGAATTTGATGTTCCTGGCATAATAAAAAGATATGATTGTCTGATTCAAAACGGCGAACACCAGTCCATTTCATTTCACTAATGCTTGGGATATCAATCTTTATGTGTTCCATTTCTTTCTTTTTTTTCTTTTAGAAAAAGAACTGAGTTTTATTTCCTGTTTTATTAGCTGACCAGATTACAAAAATAATCGTGGTAGACACCTTAGTTCATCCTTCTAATAAGACTGTTGATCTGGTCTTCCCTGTTGCCAACATCTCCACCTTCTACAAAATGGGTGGTCTTTTTCTTCATTCCACCATGAGGAGAAGATAATTTTAGAAGGGCCAC